ATTGATTTTTAATTGAAATAATGATGAAATAAATAAAATATCTAATTTGGGAGTGTTTGGCAACTTGGGGTGTTTGGGTTGGAGCCCAAGCCCATCCCATGTGGGAATAGGGTATTAAGGTTTTACTATAAAAGAAAAATGTTTATTTGTAAAACATAACTTTTTAGCTCATTTATGATTGTAAAACCAAAACACAACAGCCCCATTTTTACTCTCACTCTCACGCCACTTTTGCTTTTGCAAAGAACAAAAGTTTTTCTTTGGTTTGTTCTTCTTGATTTCTTAAGGCCAAGGAGGATCTAGCAAATCCCTCTTTGGTTCTTGTTGATTGTCTTCGTGTGGACCTCTACGGTTCGATCCTACACTTGGATCGGTAGCAAACACGTTCAGAGACAATATTGGTGGAGCCTCCAAAGGTGAGTATGAATCTAAACTTTAGATTTATTTTATTTTCTGCAGATTCTTGATATTATACATAAACTGTAAAATTTGTGCCTTGATTTTGGGCTTTAAGGAACGATCTACAGTTGTATAAAATTTTGTTTTCGCTGAGCAACCGGGTCGTTTCCTAACACCATCTACCAACAGCAGGCTGCTCGACACTACAACCGTAATATTAGAGTGAGAACTTTCAAAGAAGGTGACTGGGTCCTTCGCAAAGTCTTTCAAAACACTAGGGAGATCAACTCTGGCAAGCTCGACCCTACTTGGGAGGGACCCTACAAGATCGCCAAGGAAGTAGGAAAGGGCGCCTACAGACTTCAAACCCTTGAGGGCAAGGACATCAGCAATAGTTGGAATGCAATCCACCTCAAACGCTATTATTTTTAGTCAGATTTGTCTCAGTGTCAATTCTTTATTCTTATTTTTGTTTTAAAAAGGATGAATGAGCTTGTCCACCTCCCTCACCTTTAGTTGGCCTCGTGGCCTGAATTCAATAAAAGAACTATTCTGCGATATACTAGCATTCGCCTTTAGTTTACAGCCACTCGACCACATCACCAACTAATTCACATTAATTATGAACAGCAAAATTACTTCGTTAGTCAGCTTAGACCGACACAACAATTCATCGACTTACACCTTCAGTCGCCCAAGATTGACTTAACAATTCACGCAAACTCACACCTTCAGTTGGCTCAGACCGACTCATTGACTTACACCTTCAATCAGCCTAGACCGACTCAACAATTCATGCAAACTCACACCTTCAATTGGCTCAGATCGACTCATCGACTTACACCTTCAGTCAGCCAAGACAGATTTAACAATTCACACAAATTTGCACATTCGGTCGGCTCAACCCGACCAAAAACAATTCAATGGCTTGCAAGCGACACTAGTGACTCAGCCACTTGGCTTTGTCCACATCACAAACACAATCAGTCAGCTCAAACTGGCTGCATCAGTTCACACACTTGAACCAGACCATGCTGATTCGATTACAATGTTCCGCCTAGACAAGATACATCTATGAGGCGATTACCTAGGAAAGAGGGTTCAACCCCCACACATCTACAAACAATCAAGCCATCTATCCATGAAGAAAGCAGTAAAATGGGAACACAAGCAGAAACATAAAAGCCCCAAATGGCTAAGTATCAGATAAATCATAAAAGCCCCAAATGGCTAAGTATCAGGTACAAAAAGGCACATACGCCATGAAAAAGCAACGCAGGCCCCAGAAATACATGAGAAAAAAATAAACATAAGCCTAAGAGGCATTATACCCCACATCATCAGTACGAGTCGTCTCACCCATCTTCGACTCAGTCACCCTATCATTGGCCCTAGCAATCGTCCCCGCAGCCTGGTTATCGACATCCTCTGTAACCAACCATCTCGATTGACTAGCGAGGTCGAATACCGGGTCATCGATCCGCTCCTTGGTATAATCCGCACGACCAGTAGCCTCCTCCTCCATCTCTCGCAAGAGCTAGATGTCCTCATCCGGGTTCCAGTGGGCAGTTTTCCCGACCTTGTATTCCAGCATTAGCTCTCCCCAAGCCCTAATGATGGCGTCGTCAGCAATGTTGAGGCACTGCTCCCTCAGCGACTCAACCTCTGCGTTCTTCTCGGCCAGCTCCTTCTTCAATCGCTCCAGCTCGGCCTCGACTAACCTCACTCGCTACTAGCTTTCCCACTCAGCCTTTTGGGCAGCCACTTCTTTGTGTCGCAGATTGGCGTTGGACTTAGAAACTTCCAGTATTTTCTTCTCCTATGACACAATGGATTTCTTGAGGTGCAGCTACTTGTGAAAGCCTGCATAATAAAACTACTTCATCAGTGTTCAGTCACTACAAGTACAGTAAGATAAAAATCCAGCTCATACCTAGAAAGTGTGGGAAACCCCCTGGTTAGCAGCCGCAACTGCGCCCATCTAATTCAATCAGCTTTCATCTGCTGGGAACCGGAACGAGTCAACCAACTTGCTCATAGAAGCGGCATCTGAATAGGTTCACGTAGAGGTTGGGATACTAAAAGTAAGCATCTTAGTCTCCTTATACAAGACCACTATCTTCGATGACCCAGCCCCGGGCACAGGCGATTGTCTGGGTGGAGTTACAACCACATCCCTCACCTTCCCCCCTCTCTAGTCAAAGAGTCCCTCTTTCACTTCTCGCAACATCTCGCGATAGACTCACTCGCGCTCGGGACTGTTAACTTCTTCATAAGCCTGTCTACAGTTGTAAATTCCTCAACAGTTAGTGGGTTCAGCCTTGACTTATCAGACAAAATATGATTGCAGTAGCGGATGACCAGCACACTCCAAGTCTACTTCAGTGAAGGGAAGGGGATACCTTACTGAATCGCACCAACTCCAGCCCATAAGTGACTCATCCTCAAATTCACCTCCTCTAACACTACTCGACAATCTTTTTGCACCCTAGCAATGGCAAGAACCTTTCTGGTTTGCACTTCCAAACTGTCCCCACTCTGCTCGGCACGATTGAAATCAAGATCTGTAAAGGAGAAACAAAATAAGACTTTAGTAATCAAAGCACGAATAAAGACTAAGTTCCTCACCAGTCGCTCACCAGGTATACAGGATCTCACATTGACCTCTCTCTCCAAAGGCTGCTTCACCCCTTATAAAGAAGAAGCGTTCCTTCCAGTTTTTGTCACTCGATCGGAGGTCAGTCACGAGATGAGCCCGATCATGTTTGAGAGTGATTGTGTACCGGCCCTTGTCCTTGTCATTCTCCTTCAGGAAATATGAGTATAGCAACTCGTGCAGCCCAAACATCACCCGATTTCGCACACAGAGGTCCTCCAGGGCCATCAACAATCTCTATCCATTCGGTATAACCTAAGTCGACGCAATCATAAAATGGTTCAGGACCTCCCAAACAAGATGGGGAATAGGAAGCCTTAGCCCATCATGGAATCACTTCTCGTAGGCACTCACCTAACCTTTTGCCTCCCAGTCGACCCTCTCATACGACTTGGGCACCCTAATCTTGACGGACTCTGGAATGTGGTACATTGTCCTGATTCGTCACACATCACTCTCCTTCAGCAAGGGCGGATAGTCCTAACTTAATATCCCGCTACTAGGCCGACTCGGCTCGTCCTCAAAGCCACTATTGATGGAGGACAAACTTCCTAAATCGTCAACTTCATTGGAGTCTTCCCCACTCATCCCTTGCCTGTTTGAATCATCATCACCTGAAGTAGCACCGCTTGGCCCAGGAACAACCACATTCACCCCCTTCGGTATGCCGATCGGAACATCTCCACCCTTTGGCATCACTACCCTTGTTGGGGCCTCCTTGTATTCATTCCCAACTTCCATCGCCTGACTCTGACTATGACATTCAACTCCTTATCTACTCGACTCGGGTGACCAATTAGGTTTCCAATACCGAATCTTATCTTCAGTTCCAAAAGCTTCACTCGTCCAAAGTGACTGACTGACAGGCTCTGAAACCAATCTGACTTTTTACCTCCAAGAAACTTTTGGCTCAGTCAGGAAGACCAAGTACCTACTGCCTCAAGACCCTTCGTTTAGATCCCTCTCCACTTAACCTGGGAGACCAGGCAACCTATGTGACCCAGCCCTTACTGAAAAACCAAACTTTTTCACTTAAACCACCTCACTCGACCTGGTCAAGTAGACCAATACGAGCCGAACCAAAATACCCCATAACTTGACTCTGTCTTCTATCTTTGCCAAAAACCCAAGCACTTTGAAAAATCAACCCAACATACTTCACGCTTACTAAAAACAAATCAAAACTCGAGCAAATCACTCCAAAAATTAAACACAACTCCTCCAAACCAGACATACAAACCGCAATAAAACACTCCAAAATCAGAGAATCCCCTTCACAAGCAAACCCAAGAGACCCAAATCTCTTTTGTTTTTTTTTTTTTCTTCTATATATTCAAAACTTCCTCAAAACAACAAGAATGCTACTCTAGAGACCAACCAAAAGCAACAGTAGACTTAGAAATAAAAAAAAAAAAAAAAGACTTAGAAGAAGCGGTTACTGTGAAGAAATGTCGAAAAATCTCTAAAGCTTTAAAAGTTCTCCCCTACAAAAGACCTGCGAAGAAACTCTTCGGTGTTTGAAATGAGAAAGATGAAATACCCAAAGACGCTTCTAGATGGCATTTAATGACTTTCTCTTCAAACAGGGCCATGTGGCAAAACCTCGTTTTGCCCGAGATGACTCAGCTTTCCAAATTCCCACCCAAAACAGGTTGAAATCCTGACCTTACACATGCCACCTCTTCAGGCACGCATGTACCCAGAAGCATGATGATTGCGCTTGCCTTAGTATCATCATTCGGTCAACCTAAACGGGTGAGTACACCTCCAATAAGCGCTGATGATTCATCTCATTACTTACCCGATCAAACGCCTTTGATACTTCATATCCATTCGCTCGGTCTGCCCGACCGAATGGGAAGCTCTAAACAACTAGTTCACAACACATCATTCAGCTCAATGCACCGAGTGATACAAGCTCTCATAACATTTCTCACTCGGTTCGATGCACCGAGTTAGGGCACTTTCAAAGGGTATGCTTCACATCCTCTCACTCGGTTTGATGTACCGAGTGAGGACACCCTCACAGGATGTGCCTCACATCCTCTCACTCAGTTTGGTGCATCGAATTAGGGCATCTTCACGGATATTCGTCTCTCCCCCTCACTTGGTCCGATGCACCAAGCGAGTTCTTCAAGGTCAGCTCCACTTTCTCACTTGGTTAGATACGCCGAGTGAGGGCATGTTTGTGTTTCGCCTTCACCCACCCACTCGGCCTGGTATACTGAGTGCATCACCTACAGGAAAAGCTATACTATTCTATTCCGCAAACAGAGAAGCAGCACATTCACATATTCAACCAGTTGGTCATGAAAGACGACTAAGCACACCTTCACGCAACATTTACTCTCTAAGCTAAGCATTCCTTAACTTAGAGAGTGGGGGGCAAATTGTTAGGGCAAAAAAATGTCCTCGGCCCCAATAGGCCCAAAGACGAAGACACCTTCAACAAAGCTCAGAGCCATGGCCCAATTCTGATTGGGCTCGCAATAGAGTTTACATATTAGGTCCGCCCAGTACACCTACCCTGTTGCTCACTGCTTGGGTCCAATCAGCAAAGGCCCCAATTCGTATATGCTTCATCATCAATTTGTCTAGGCCCAGGCCTTTTGATCCTAGACCACCTACTGGACTTAGGGTCTACTTAGGGCCCAGAGTTGCCTACTTACTCTGGCACCATCAGAACTCTATCGAAGAGATCCATTATTATCCTAATTTGTCTAAGATCCGTATCTTAGACCTGTTGGGACTCTCTTTCCCACTAAGGTAAAGGAGTCAAAGACTCTCCTTTTTTACAAAACCTCAACTCCTAAGGACTCACAGTCCTATTAGGACTCGAAGATCCTACAAATTCTATTTAAACAAGAGGCCAACCCTCCCACTGGCACAAAAGATTACACCTTCTAACCCTGTAGTTCTCACTCTTGAGAACTTCGCATCACAACCGTAGTTATAGTCTCCGATTAGACTTTTGGTAACCTTCTCTTTCCTTAACCCTCACTAAATTAGCCTCATTTAGCCTTGCTAACTTGAGCGTCGGATTGCCTATGGCAAACACCATCCCGGTGCTTTCCGTTTGCTTCACACTTGTTTTCTTGTGTGTGCAGGTACAGCGGATTGCTGGTGGCCTCAACCTCACGGGATCAGACCCTATTTCCGTAGCGGTAGATTTTTTGCATCTACAATCATTTTTTCTTTTATAAAAAAAAAATTATAACTAATGGAGATGTAGCAGGAAGCATTAAGCAATGATGATGTTAAGAAACGTGGTAACATCGATATAACATTTCATCAAATAAGCATCAATGAGAAATGACCATTTGCTTTTTGTTAATTAAAGTGTAAAACTGATTTACAAGTTTATGAAATGGGAATTTATTGTAAATTTGATGAGGATGATGGAATTGTTATTATGGTGTGTGATTTTTTAAAACTTTCCTTTTATAAAAATTTAACATTTTAGACACTCTTATGAAAAATAAAAGAGTTACCTTCCAAAGTTTTTTTCTTTATAATATCATTCAAAACTATATATAGAATTAATATATTCATTCTCTAATGTGAATGCTATAAATCTCAAGACATTCCTACTTAATAATATCCATATATGAATTATATATTAGTTGTAAAATCTAAAAACATTTGGAATATAACAAAGTAAAATATTTTTATTTTTCCTACAATTTTATTCAATTTTTAATGCATATATAGCATTCTCCTAATAATAAAAATACTTAGTTATAATTAAACATATGAAGGCCTAAATGAAAAAGTTTTGCTTAAGTCTAACGACCTTGAATTTCATAAAATATGTTAAGGATTGCTATGTAATATGCTCTAAATTAAATGTTTTCGTGTATAACAAATGAATGTGATTTAATTTGTAAGGGTAGTAGATTGTAACATTAGATGTGTATGTTGGCCAAGTTTTTGCTTGCTAGGGCCGATATGAGTCTTTGCAACTTTTTATTTAAAGGTGCTGTGCAAAACATCATTTTGAGACTTTCTTTTGAAAGTTATCTAGATTTTTAATGTGTGGATTAAAAAGGTTTTAACTGTTTTTTCTATTCAACTCAAATTCAAATTTTTAAGTTTAGAACTTCACTCTGCATTCTGACTTTCCCTCTCTATACTACTCATTCATTTTTTTTTTTTTTTTAAATATGAGAGGTGAATAAAATAATTTCTAAGATTGATATTCACATACTAAACCTTACATTTGTTTCTATTAGACCTCTATTTAATCACTTTCATATTTTAAAGCCAAATTGATTTCTTTCTCTTTGTTTAGGGATAAACCAACTTCATTGTAATGATGATTTGTTAAAAAAACAAATGGAATAGAGTTTATGTAAACAAAGTCTAAATAATATTATTAATTTTTGTTGGTAATTTCATTTATAAATAAAATTTAGATAATTTTGATGTGTATGATTTTAATTGGTGTTTGATATTTGTAAGTATTAATGACATATATTAATAAAAATTATATAGTGGCATTGCATTGCCATTCTGAAGGTCTAAATAAAAAGATATAAAGATTCGTTTTAGGCCTTTCACATTCACCAGGAGGTTACTTACAGAGATGATGTTTCCTTAGTTAAAGAAGCTTCAACACAAACACCACGGTTATAATGAAACGAAGCGGCAGTAACACAACAATACTAAGTAGATGACGAGATACAAATGATGAAATCAAAAAGAAAAAAAATAAAACCTAATTAAATAGTAGCCGAATTTGAAATAAAACCGGCCGGACCGTTTATTAAAAAATCAATAAACTGCTTCACAAAAAATTAACCCTAAGTAAATAATAACCAAATTTTCAAGCAAAAATTCCAAACACTTGGTTTAACATTAATTGTCCAAATTCAAAAAACAATACAAATTAATATTATTTAGTTGCATTAAATTGCTATACATGGATATGTAATATTTACTTTATATTACTATTCTTAATTTCTTTATTGTCTAATTAAAAAAACATTGCAATTTCATACTACTTATTTGGATTAAATAGATATACATAAACATGTATAAAGTATCTCCAAATGACTCTTTATATTATTCAAACTCTTTATTATAAAAAGTTTATCCATAAAAACAAGAGTCCAACTGACTCTTTATTCTTTAAATATAAATTAAAGAGTGAGTTTGACTCTCCACATTTAGAGAGTCAAATTTCACTCTCTATCCTAATTTTAAATAATAAATTACAAGTTTCTATGCATTTTATTTATGATTTATCTCTCCTATTAAGTTTCTTAAAAAAACATACACTCTCTCCTAAAATTTAAAGAGTCTATTGGATTTGAATAAAAATTTTATTCTTTATATTTAAAAATCAATGAAGATACTCTTTATTTACAAGAAAGATGCTCTTTAAAATAAAGAGTATCATTGAAGATGCTGCAATATTTATATCAAATTACAATTCGTAATTTCTTTATTATTTATTACTTATAATTATTAATTGAACATTAAATTAAATACTATAACAAATCTTTTCTAATCTATTATTTTACTCAATCTTATGATACTTTGTAGAGTGTATAATTTAAAAAAAAAAAAAAAAACATTAGAATTTAACATTACTTATTTGGATTCAACAGGTATACATGGGCATGTAATATTTATATCAAATTACAATTTGTAATTTATTTATTATTTATTACTTTTAATTATTAATTGAACATTAAATTAAATACTATAAAAAATATTTTCTAATATATTATTTTACTTAATCTTATGATACTTTGTACATTGTATACAATTTTATAAGCAACTCACGCAACATGCGGGCCTTCTACCTAGTTTAATATAATTTCTCACAAATGAATCAATTATACCATGTAAATGATATCATAATTCATAACATTTCCCCAAAAAAATTTCTAAAATGTATTTTTAATGTAAAAACTAGGAAAAAATTAATTTCATTGTCTATTGAGTATTGATTGTATTGAAGAATTATTACTATTACAGTAATGTTCGATCTACAACCTTTTCTCATAACCCTTGAGTGAGTTTGTCATTAGTCAGCTTGTAAATGAACAGGTATAACACATGCAAACAGGCAGGATCGATTTTGTGAGCTGATCAATAATTAGTTGTCATGTTGAGGGTGGTGAGAGAAAGTTGTGAGATTGGGTTGTAGACCAATCATTACTCTTATTTTTTATTTTTTATTATTTTTTTTTTTTTATAGTGGTTAAAATAAATGCAACAATACATTATACATAAGTGTTGTGCCACTTTCTTGGCTAATAGGGCCACGAATTTTAAATTTGAAAAATCCATAACCGTTAAGAGGCGGTTTTAAACCGCCTCCAGCCCGCCCAAATTCCTTCCTGTTTCATGTGGCTCTCTTCTTATTCACTTCTCTTTAAAACTTTAAATAGAACAAAAGAATCAACTCACCAACAATGAAAGACCACACAGAAACCCCTAAATTTATACAAATTTCATGCTTTTTCTTCTGCTTTCTTAATCTTTTCTGTCCACAAGGCGTTGTTGCACTTCAAATTCTCTCCAAATCAAAGCTTGCAAAATGTGAAAAGCGTTCGGAATCTGATGGTCTCAATTGCACCACCAAGATTGTCCTTAACATGGCGGTTCCTAGCGGCTCGGTAACCGATTTCATCTCCTCTTCTTTCCTTAATTTTTACAGTTTCTTTTTTATTTTTTTGTGTGATTATGTTCAGTGTTGGCTAAATATTATTTCTGACTTTCTTTTAGCTTTTAAAGTTTTAAACGGTTTAATTAGGCATTTCAACGGTTAATTAAATTTTAAGTTTCTAAAATTTGTAAAATTCGTCAAACTGAAGAGCAGTGTTTGATTGATTACTATAAATTAAAATTAAGATTCTTTTGTTAATCAATTTATATTTGAAAGCGTTGTGGAGTCCGTGAGATAATGGACTTCGAGTGCAATTTACTGAGACGAGTGGCGCTCAAAATTATTTTATTTAATAAAACGGAAGTTTGTTTTTTGTTGCTTTGCGCTGTTTTTGTTTTTAGAGTGGAGGAGAAGCCTCAATTGTAGCAGAAATCGTGGAGGTTGAGGAGGAGAATTCGACTCAACAGATGCGAACATTGAGAATACCACCTGTTTTGACAGTCAACAAATCTGCTGCATATGCACTCTATGAGCTTACATATATACGAGTAAGCTATCTGTAATGCTTAAATAGCTTTAAGTATGTATGAATATATTTTGAGTTTCTAAGGAAGAATATATTTCTTATGAATGGTAGGATGTTCCCTACAAACCCGAAGAGTTCTATGTAAAAACTCGGAAATGTGAGCCAGATGCTGGTGCGAATGTTGTGCATATGTGTGAAAGGTAAAAACATCTTGTTTTACTTTTCCCTCTCTTCACTAAGTTCTTTATTTTATTTTTGGGTTGAAATTTGAATCATCGTCTAAGATTGGTTGGTTTGAATAATGAGTTGTGATGTTTCAATGTTTTGATCCTTGTACAGGTTGTTGAATGTTTGTAACTTTGTTTAAGACTTCAGAAACATGGTGAAATAATGAGTCAAATAAATACAATAATAGCTTTTCTTTTTTAATCTTTTCCCATTCTAATTATTCAACTATGATCCTTTCGATTTAAATATGCTACAATATGTTTCACTACCGTTAGCAATTGTTTTCATTGACGAGAATATATTAGTTGATGAACTAGTAGTTTTTTTCGTTTCTTTAGCACATTTGTTTTGTTCTAGAAATCCTGCTTACCAGTTAATGGAATATTACAACTCAATCAGTAGTTCGGTTGCAACATTATTTTGAAACTCAGAAACCTGCATTCTCTGTATATTGATTTTGTTACTTGAAGCCACCAAATTTCTGCCTTAAAAAATGAAGGTGCCTAAGAGTTGTGCTTTCGCAGTCGATTAATTGAATTTCTTTTTGCTAACTATGCGCTTGGCTATTTTTTTTTTTTTTTTTAAACTGCTGATCTAGGCCACCAAAATAGATGTTAAATTTGATCACATTGATAAATATTTATAAGACAGTTAGGGACTCAACAAAAGATGTTGGCTTTACCTATTTTCACTCTAAATAAAAGCATTCAGAATATCATTTGAAAAGGGTTTGCTTTGACATTAAAAATAGGTAATCCCATTCCCCGTGTCTTTGTCTCTATTACGTTTATATGGCTGGAAAGGATTATCTTAAAAACTGGTATAACTTTCTATATTATTCTCAATTTAATTGATCCTATTGTAGCAAGGATGTGTTTGATAACATTTGATATGAGAGTGGTTACTGCAATTTGGGCAGCCTATGGTTTGTTTCATTTTTTTCTTTTTCTTTTTCATTTTAAATTGGTTTTTCCTAGGTATATCATAAACTGGTTTTCTATATTAGCAAGTCTGACTTACTGGTTTCTATTAACCATTTTGAAGGTTGCGAGATGAGAATGGTCACATTATTGAGAATACTCAGGTTAACTTTTTATATCTTATTTGCTCTTCCAATTATCCTAGTCTTTATACTGAAAGTTAGCTCGGTGTAGCGAGTTATGATTTTCTTAGAAATTGCTTAAAAAATTTTGGATTCAATATTTTACGGCTTTTGGTTTTGACAAAGATAACTGTGATCCTCACGGTTGTTTATCATAATTATATTAGCCACTTTTGTTTTATTCTTATGGTGTTAATGCAATTCTGTTGCTTTCTAGCTTTTGTCTCTATATGGTCATCAAATAGTCAGCTCTTTATAAAGTATATAGCATTTAAATGATTAAGCTTCTACTTGTCTTTAAAACATCATTTTGATTAACTTATCTTTAATTTCTCTCCTCAATGGTTCTATATGTACAGCCAACCTGTTGCCCTTGTGGACCACGGAGGCGAATACCCTCCTCATGCGGAACTGTCTGTATGTGCTCTAGTGTTCAGCATTTTGAGATTTATTAATGCATGATGCAGCTTAAGGTTCCTAGTGATTAGTAAGGTTCCAAGAGATTGATCTTTTACTTTATTTTGATTAGTTGACAAGATGTTGAAAGGAAAGGCAAATACCGCACATTGTCTCCGATTTCCAGGTGATTGGTATGGCTTTACTTTGCTTACACTTTTTTTTTTCTAAGCAAATTCTATTTAATGAAGTTTGTATGAGGACATGTTATGCAATTGTTCTTCTGATAGGCAGCTTATATGGATTTAAGATCAAATTCTTGGTGACATCTTTTTGCTGAGAGTATTTAAACTCATCTTAGTTGGTTATTCGTCAATGCTTTGTTATATGTATAACATGGGGCTTCCCTGAACATTAATGAGTGTTATTCTTGAAGTACACTTAGGACGAGAAGCTGTATTTTACAGTTAACATATATGCCAAATAGAAACATTAGGAGAGTTGTAGAAACTTGGAATCTAAGATTTTGAATCTTAGAGAGTTTGGATTTATTTTTCTCTAGGATGATTGTAGGTTCCAACTCATGTTGTCATGCAGATATCTGCTTTACCACGAAACTTTGAAGATTAACTATTCAAGTAATTTCTTTTAACTACAGTTATTTGGTTCGAGTTAATTTTTGTTTATTGTAATTTTCTCCCTAAGTTTGCAAAGCTTAGATATTTATGCCATAAAATTATGAATCTTGTGCATTCAGGTTCCATGTTTTTGGCATTGGGCAGCGATCAATAGGATTTAGTGTTCGAATTGAGGTGAAGACTGGGTCTAAAGTGTCGGTATGTTATTTTTTGAACTTCTTTTATCTAGTTATGTTAAGTACTTATGGATTATGCTTCAATTTACAGCACTCATCTTCTGCATTGATTATGCTCTAGTTCTATGATTGCTTATGGAAGCAGAACATTCTTAAGTTGTCTATACATTCCAAAATGCTTCCTGTGGACTTAATGTTCATTATTGACGTGATTTAAATTTTTGAGGCTTGTAACATGTTTTCAAATAACTCATGTTCTGAACGGGTTTATATCTGATTGTAGAGATATTTCTGGCCTTCCTTTGTTTGATGGCTTTGAAAATGGTTAATCTTACATTTATTTAGTACAGGAAATGGATTCTTCCTTGAGAGTAGATGCATTCAAATAAGGCCTTTACCTTTCCTTCTTCCCCTGACACCATGGGGAGTGTTTCTGTTACAGAATGTATAATTTGAATATCAAGCAATCTATAAGTTTGCACCTCTATTATGATGTCAGTTTGTAAATCTTTTGAGCTCTACATGATCATTTCCTTAACATATGGATACTATTTATTTTCAATAGAGTTTTTTAAGTGAAATTTTCAAAATGCAGTCTCTTACTTGCCTTCAAGTAGAGGTTTGTCATATCCAATTCTTTAATCATGTCATTTATTCTTAATTTCAATAGTTGAAGATTTTACATCAATATGTAGTTAGTTGTTTGCATTGCATTGGAGTGGAATCATGATTGGTTTGAATTATTTGCCACTTTTTAGTTGTATCTTACTTTAATTAAGTAGGGATGCAAAATTAAGTTATGAAGAACTTTGGTAATGTTCTTGTTAGCAGGAAGTGATTGTGGGTCCTTCAAATAGAACGGTAATGTCCAGCGACAATTTTTTAAGGGTTAATCTTATTGGAGATTTCGTTGGATACACAAGCTTGCCGTTGTATGAGGAGTTCTACCTTGTTACTCCAAGGCAGGTATGCTAGCATAATTTATATAATTTTGATTATAGTGCCCTTGCAACACGTATAAGAAGCAAAAGTCTGGCAAGATCAATTTTTATTTTATCAAGTACATTTTTTCTTTTGGTTTTTGAGTTTAACAAATTGGTTACAGTGATCCGTAGAATTAAATTGAGATGAAACTTGTATAGACATCTCAATTTTTTACAAGCCAAAAGTATCAATTTATCTTGCCTGAACTAAATCTTTGATTTGGAGTTTATTATCGCAGTTGCATGCTTATGTTGAGCTTTCATTTTGTACTATCTCAGAAACTTGCAAGTAGAGGTGTAGCTCTATTCCGTTATCAAGGAATGTCTAAGAAGGATGTCCAAATATAAATGAGTGTTATTTCCCTTCTCTGATATGTCTCCTACAACATTTTCACCGAACATTTTGCCGGAGTGTCATGAATCTGTTTTTGCTTATTGATTTTAATTGCATAGTGAATTATGTTATAATGCTGAGAGCTAGTCCTTTCGTTTGTGGAAGGGTGACCCTGGTCAACCCCAAGACTTAGGGCGGAACTTATCAATGTGGATGCTGCTTGAGAGAACGAGATTTACTTTAGATGGCCTTGAATGCGACAAAATTGGTGTCAGTTATGAGGCTTTCAATAGGCAGCCAAGTTTCTGCTCTTCACCATTTTGGACTTGCTTGCACAACCAGTTGTGGAACTATCGGGAAGTTAGTATACAAAACTGAAAAGTAGTACCTTTCTTCTAGTGATTCTTTACTTGTTCTTTTCGTTTTCTTCTCTGTGAATTTTTATAGATTGTAGTGAATATATTTTATGCGCCATAGTAGATGATTGTGTTTCTGGTTATCTATCTCTTGTTCATCTTTTTATTTTATTTTATTTTATTTTTTTATTAGGCCACTAACCATGATGTGTGCTGCTGCATATATGTCCACAATTTTGTTTTCTTTTGTACTTTGATTTAGGTTCTAATAACATTTATTCTCTGATTAAGTTGGAAACTTCTTTTCACAATTTTTAGGAGGAAACATTTAGTAGAATGTGACCATTTAGCTTTTGACTAATTATATGTGAACAATTCTCTCGTAGACTTGCAGTTCTTTTAAATTGAAAAGTAAAAAAGTTTTGTTGTTTCTGAATTTGTGTTACTTCTGGCAGGCCGATCAGAACCGCATTGCTAGGAATCAGCTGCCACTATATGTGGTGGAAGGAAGGCATGAAAGGATAAACCAGCATCCAGTTATGTTCCTGGAATTGTAGATTTTAGATTTAGAAGGATATCTATTATATGCCTTAATTAATTGTTTTGATTTGGGTGCAGAATGCGGGGTCTCATTCATTTTCCATTGGAGTCAGTGAAGTTCTTAATACAAATATCGTGTTAGAATTAAGTGCTGATGATATAGAATATGTCTACCAAAGGTTAATATTAATCCCCCATGATTAATTCCTACTTCTATTTACTTGAGTTTTTTGTGATGGGCTCTTCACCAGAGGTGGATTTACAATGCTCATTTGATCTTTTGTCAGTGATAAGATGTTATAAATTTGTTTTAGCTTGGTGAAGCGAATGAGAGTTGATTATCTCCTCCATTTAATGTTACGAAGTTTAACTTATTTGTTGATTTAAAGCGGTTTGCCTCATTTTGAGCTCACTTGGGCTTTTTTGAGATTAAATGGGGTCAAAAAATGTCCCCTCATTAGTGACATCTATAAGAAGGGATTTTTATACAGGGAACGAATTTTCACAATTAGAATGAAGCAGATTCTATCATGTCTTAAAAGTTCTGATGATGGTTGTATGCTTATGTGCTTTAAAATCTTATTCTGTACATGTCTTCGAAATTCTTAAGATTTCCATTCATTTGTAGGAGTCCAGGGAAAATAATTACCATTACCATCCCATCCTTCGAAGCCCTTACACAATTTGGAATTGCTACAATTATGACTCAGAATACTGGTGATGTGGAAGCATCATATAGCTTAACGGTAATGCTATCAAACTTTTACCTAGTATTTTCTGTCATATTGCTAGTTTTTTGTTGACTTCTAGTCTGCAACTGATTTATTTGAAATTTGAATGTGGTTTCAACTACTGCTATAAGAAAAGAATTGAAGACTCTCTGAAAGAAAGTTTCACAAACACCGTGCTGTTTGTTTTCTGTACTCATTCATGAGTGGTTAAGACTTTCTAGAGTATCCCTCCAAATACAGCTTGGAAATCTGTGCAGCTGTATCGTACCTATGGTTTCAAATTAATAGTTGTTGGAATATTTTATTTTACTTTTAGTTGTGATGAAACTTTCAATCTTGCAGTTCGATTGCTCAAGAGGAATCACCCTTATGGAGGTATCTTTTCAGAACATTTCAGTAAATGTGCCTGGTATCATAATTAAGCCTTTAGGAAAGATACCATCATTTAAAGTTGTTATGGCTGCAGGAACAGTACTTCATAATGACGCCTAAACAAACCTTAAACAGATCATTCAAACTCTATCCAACAACTGATCAAGCAGCAAAATATACATGTTCAGGTGACCTAAAACTTGACCTTTACAGAATATCTGGCTTTTTTTGGGGTGAGTTAAATCAGATTGCAGAATAAAGTTCGAGTCTTACTAAAAAAAATATTATGCTCGAATGCAGCTATATTAAAGGACTCTGATTTCAGTGAAGTTGATAGAGCTGAGTGCCAATTCAGCACCATGGCTACTGTCCTTGACAATGGTTCACAGGTTGGGAAGTTTTCAAAATTATGACTTTTTAAATAGGCTTCTGGTACCTTGAGGTGTTTGTGCAGATAAATATTTTTTGTAAAGGAACAGTTCATTTCTCAAAATTAAAACATTTGGGAGAAGTGTATTTACCTTCGGATGAAACTATTAAGATTCGCTTTAGGTGCAGAAATTCTGGAAGTTTCAAATTTATGCATATGAAGTTCTGGAGCTTTCTCAAGGACATTCTAGGATGTTGATATAGTGTAGGCATGATTAACTGCATATCTGTTGGGCATATTCTTCATGTCAGCATAAGCACTAATATTTTTAATGATTGAGACGACAAACATTTCAAAGGTTTGAAAACCAATGAATTTTTAGCATGCATCTTCTTACTGGCTATAAGGATCTCATTATATTTGCCGCAGAGAGCAATTCATAACAGTAGCTGAACTCGGTCGCTAATGCTTTACTGTTAGTGTGCTCCTTCTGGAGTCCACCAGAAAGAAGAAGCCTTGTGTACTTGAACAAAAGATGATGAAGAACCTGTCGAAACTACTAATTTTTTGATGGTTGTTTAATATAGTCACTTTTTTGTCCTCTTTAGAGATATTGACAAAGATGTCTTCTATATTTATTTGTGTTTCCTTCATCAATTTGGATATGTATAAAATGTATCCACGAATGTGGACTGGAATTTTTTCTTTTACAACATGAGCAAAGTTATCTGACTTACCTACCTTTTAGAATAAGAAATTGTTTTCTTATTTCCTCATAGGTATGGAGAAGATTGCTATTTATTTTCTCTCATAGGATTGCTACAGAAAATTGCTTCTTCTTTTTTTTTTTTTATATATCTTTTTTCCATTTTTTTTAACCCGTTAAAGTCGGTTGCATCTTTACAGAATTGCATTCTGGTTTTTTTTTCTAATCATTATTTACTTTTATTTAGATCTGTGACCATTGGCAATTTTTTATTAAGAAATAACCAACATGTTGACAACAGTGCTTAAAAGTTGCAAACTTTGTTGATTGATTATATGATCGAATGAATCAATTTAGCCATAAATTTGTTGCAGACTCCTTTTGAATCTCCAAAGACCAGTATAAATGGATTCTTTGAGTCCATTGAAAGCATTGGGAAGAATCTTTGGGAAGGTTTGATTGAATTCATCACTGGAAAAACGTGCAGGTATACTTTCTTGAATGGACTATTAGTATATACTAGTTTAACGTTATATTCATAAGGACTGGGATGAAGTTATTTAATCTGAATATCTTCTATTGCTTCCAATCTCTGCAATTAGATATTTTTCAAGAGGAAAATCAGGTGAATTTGAACATTATTTTGTAACCAAGTCTAATCAAATATTGCACTGGGATGTCACCAAATATGTAGATGTATATGTGACTAAGAATATGCATCAAAATTTTTGTAAGATCTTCATCATCTTCAAGAACACAGGAAGACAATAGCCTAAACAGTGTCGAATTCATTTTTCAAATCTAATACGTCTAACATCATAAACTCCTCTCTCTCTCTCTCTCTCTCTCTCTCTCTCTCTCTCTCTCTATTGTGAGCTTTGAGAAAGCTTTGCATCTGATACATCTAACATCATAAACTCCTCTCGCTCTCTCTTGTGGGCATTGAGAAAGCTTTGCTTTGAGATGAGTTACAGACATAGGCACTTATTCTAGAAGTTCATATAAAGATGTTAATTCTTTATCTTATTTTTTCTTTTTCTAATGCAGAAGGAAATGTGCTGGTTTCTTTGACTTCAGCTGCCATATACAGTACATATGCATGAGTTGGATAGTGATGTTTGGTCTAATTTTGGCAATTTTTCCAACAGGTAATTGTTACTTCATTATTCAGTAGTCAATACTCTTTAGTATTAAAATTAAAATTACATAATACCATGTACTTTGAGTTGTAGTGCTTGTGCTTCTGTGGCTTTTACATCAAAAAGGACTCTTTGATCCTATTTATGACTGGTGGGAAGACGATTCTCGGACTAAAAAGCAGAGAATCAGGGATATGAGAAGGCACAATATTGATTTTGACCATTCCCACATCCATGTTGAAAAACATCACAAGCAAGAGGGTAGGCACCACAAGCATGATGCTCATCATAGGCGAAGTGGTATTCACATAGATCACAAACATGATCAGTCTGACAGGAACAGTGACTATTATTATAATCTTCACTATGTTCACAAAGATAAGCATAAACATGGGCACGGTAAGAAATCAAGTATCATGCAGCAAGTACACTTGGACAGAAGGGAGAATGATCATATTGGGCACCATAGACGCAGGAAGGATAGAGAATCTTATTAAGGGCTATCAAAGATAGCATATATCAAGAAGAGAGGCAAGAGGACTATAACTTGCTTAAGCATAAGCTGCTGGATGATCTAGTTTAAACTAAACAGTAAGCACAGAGAATAATAAACTCAAATTTCGATTGCCTGTTATATTAAACTTGTGTTAGAGCATATATATATATTTTCATAATTTCATTCTTCTTTCTGTCTTCCTTTTTTGGGTTGGAGGGTTGAATGGAAATGTTTCTGAAAATTTGTGGCTGTAAAATTGATATTCATATACAGAATGAGATCAGAACATTTACAATTATTGTCACAAGTAAATTTCATTGTAATGAGTATGTTATATTTTTGAACACTGTAGATGACTTTGATGTTTCTTTTTCCTTTTTTCTACTTGTCTCTCAAGTATACAATGACACAAACTAAAAGGAAAGCACATAACTCTTGTGTATGGCACAAAAAAATTGACCGTGAGCAAAACTGCAGCTTGGCTGGGACCATTGAACTGGTTCTTTGTTTTCTACAGTCTCCAAGAGTATTTTTAGACTATGATACTCCTTTTGTAGCGATAGGAATATTGAGTTGTAAGATGCCAAGTCAGGAGCTTAAGGTATTCTGCTTCTAGCCACATCAACGACCTGCCTGGTTAGTTCTGGTTTGATTATGAGGATTCATGTGTTACATCTTTCTTTGTAATCTGAACATAAAAGCCGTTTGGAAATTGTAAACCAGGTGTTCGGACTATATTGCCTCCTTTGATAGGTTGCCACCTGAAGAAATCCCAAAGCACAACAGGTTAGCCTCTCTATCTCTCTCACTAACAGCACACACTCATCTCATCACACGGTTCTCTTACCTGTACTTTGTGACCAAGCAATGGAGAAATACAGCCATCTGCACTTTGGTAAAGTCTGTTCCAACACAGAATCTCATGCCACCACCAAAAGCCATGAAATGCTTAGATGCAGTGTTTGTCTCCATTCCCTGATGGAACCATTTGTTAGAAAGTTGAACTATAGAAAAATGATTAAATTTTAGATCACTTTATACTTGTAGAAAGCTACACACCGTCCATCTACTTGGATTGAAAGCCAGGGGATCTTCATATTTTGCTGGATCCAAGTGTACAGCAGGGGGACATACCATAACTGCCCAACCTGCTGGAATGTTATATCCTGCACCATTACAATTTTTATTGTATGTCAAATTGTTTGCTTGTATAAACCTATTTTGTACAAACGCAAACTTGACCAATAAATTTGTTGCCTACCCTTAAAGTGGACATCAGTCAGTGCTTTTCTGAAGATTCCTGGAACTATATTTGCCAGTCTAACTGTTTCATTTATGAACTGCAAAATTGAAATGTTTTAGATTTATTGAACAGAGTTATATACTAGTATTCCAATATGTCAAACATTTTTAATACAAGTGAAAGTGATTGAAGTACCTGAAATGTATATGTCATTGATTTGTATTCTTTCCATGTAAGTCCAGAATCAGCTTTTTGTCGATTCTTTAGAATTGCCTCATGCTCTTCCTGAGAAGGTGAAAACATTTAGAACATTTTAGTTGGGGAAACACTGAAGAAAAGTGACAATATAGAAATTGAAGCTACAAAAATTCACACACCGTTAATTTCTTCAGCACCAGAGGACAATCCGAGAGAAATTTGACGGCCAAAGTTAAAGCTAGGGAAGTTGTTTCGAAGCTAGCAAACAGTAGCACAAACATCAAGTCCAGAGCAATTGCCTCTGTGAGGATTGTAGTCTCTTTCTGAAGTTCTTCTAGCACATAATCGTAAAAATCAGTCCGATGCTTTCTTGGGTTTTCTCTTCTTTCTTGTAGCATGTTTTTCAGCATTTTCATCGCTCTTTGTCTACCCTGAAAACTTTTAAACTTCAAGACCAAAAGCTAGAGCCAACTGTTTGATATTTAGAACTTGTGATTCAGGGCAATATAACTCAGTTCATGAATGCCATTCATCCAGTTAAAGAGAGAGAAAGGGGAAGAAAAAATATAAGGTGTAATGAAGAGATTGGTTACCTGTAAACATTTGTGGTAAGCTGTTCCTGGAATGTCCAAAGGGAAGGAGATTAATCCTTGAATAAATGCAACAAAGTTCTCCCTTAGGTTCTCTGAGGAGTTGTCTTGATCATAACTTATCAGCTTCTTTGCAGTTAGATCAAATATCATCTGTAAAGATAGAATTATTAGACCCCAAACAAGAAAACAATAGGTGGATAATCAATTAGATGAAGAAAGGTGGGTGAAATTACACTTGCAGTTGCTTCTTTCAATTCAACTGTATCCTGGCTTGACCACCGTTGTAATTTCCTACATGCTACCTGCTCAACTTCAGGGAGCATTTTCCTTAGGCTTTCAGGACCAAAGAGATTTAGCACCATGTTCTTAAGGTACCTGTACATGAACCCATGTAATGAACCCACATTCTGTCGTCCGAAGATCTCTGTAAATGTATCTGGATACCAGCTCTGGAACATGTGTCCTTCTTGCTGGAAGATGAAGTAATTGAGATCAGAGTCTGTTGATATTACGACCGGTCGTCCAACTAAACTAGTTCGGAATATTGGGCCGTATCTGAAAAATGTGGATAATATATAGAGAGGATTATACTGATGAATTCACTAGTTGTTGAACCAAAAAGAATTTAAGTCAAATTATTACCTTTGCATCCTTTTCTTGATGAAGGGAGGAATATCAGAAGAAGTGTTGGGAGTGAAGAACTGAAGGGTCTCGCCGAGAAGCGGCAAGCCCATTGAACCAGGAGGGAGTTTACCATTGCATCTGGGATTTCTCCATCTGTAAAGCCAATGAGTGATGGTAATGATAAGCAAAGCTCCAATGCAGAAAGCCCACATCTTACTAAAATGAGAATGTAAATTGAAGATGATAGATTGAGAAAATGGTGATATAAATGTGGTTTGAACAGAAAAGAAAATGGACAAGGACAGGTTAGGATTACTGGAAAAAGGAAGAGTTTGAGGTGTGGAAACGTGGAGAGAATAGACAGGGAGGACAAGAAAGTGCTGGCATGTATCTCATCAACCATGAGAGGGGAGGCCTTCTTAAATAGGCAGGCAAGTTATACAACTAGTAGCTAATTAATAATAATTTTGGTTCTTTGTTTCTGTGCAGTTGGTTTTTGCATAAAACAAAAAGTTGTACAGTAGTTGAAGATAGAATAGAATAGTACAAGTTTGGAATAGTTCTGTCTAGCGACCGTCTCATATATTATCCTAATTATATGTCAACGGCGCCCATTTATAATTTTCCCTATTTTTTTTTTTTTTTTTTTAAATATAAAAGCTAGGTAGCTACCATGATCATATATGAAACTTACAGGATGTTTCCTATCAGTCTCTTCTCTCTCTAGTAGATGCAGGTGTAAGAGAACATATTACACGAAACTGAAGAAGCACGAGGCAGAATTCTGGCCTTTTTTAAGGAGATTTTGCAGGAACACAAGGGGTTTCCCAAGATTTGAGTGGATAGAGGTTCAAAGGATCTGTCTGACCAAATTAAGTATCTAAAAATCAATCTATAATACATCATTAAATACTGAAATCTATTGGGTTTTTACCAACTACTTGAAATCTTCTCATATCTATGTTAAATACTCTTAGTATCTATGTGATGTGTTGATATCATATTATGTATTTTTCTTTTTTAGATTTGGATCTCCTCCTATATCTTCTTTAGCTGTAGTCATTCTTTCATATTCTTAATCCTTCTTTCTTTTTTGTCAAACTCTCTTATCTAAGTGCATACATCATTAGTGATTCTCAGTGGAGTTCTATAGATTTGCATGCAACTACTATTTGTGTATGTTTTACTGGTGAAAATTTTCAAGACCAGTTAAGCTAATCTAATCTAATCTAATCTACTTCTTCAGGTTAACTCATTCAATACATAGAGCACCGTCCCATCGGCCCATTGAGCCACGGACTCAGACACCTCCTTGTCCTGCAACTACTGTTACAATGTAGGTAGGTTACTGTGAATTATATGTCTCCATTATTTGCATTAAGCCATTAGATTATACATTTAATTGATACACCTTTCTTTCATTAAAATATTTGAACGAAGCTTCATGTACATGTGATGTGGATGGATCTAAGAGAATGGCATTGTTTTAGAGCTAGAAAACAAGACCACAGGGATTCCTTTAACATTATTTCGTATGCTAAATCCAAAAATAAACATCTGGGATTCTAATTTCTAAAGCTGTAAAGTCAATGCAATTGCTAAGCTTTTAACGCGGTATTACACTTTGCTTCAAAGTACTTGGTGATCAACACTCCCTTAGGAAATGAAAGTGTTCGTCAATAGTCATAGCTGTCAGAAATATAATACATATAACGTGAGAATGAGACAGTGAACAACTTTAGTTACATCCCATTTAGCCATTGATGAAGTATTTCTTTTCTTTTTCTTATCCAAGCACTGAAAGAAGTTTATTCATCTGTGTGATTATTTTTAATAGCACAAGTTGGCTTTTAATGCAGAAAAGTGTTGAAATGGTTGAATGGTTTCTTTAAGAGGATGACACAGATTGCTTAACTGCTTGGAATGGACTTGGAAAGGTCTCCTTTAAGGGGTACACACAACAACCAATGACAGCTCAGTATCTCTTTCGTTGGAATTCTAAAACAGACTATTATTCTATTTATTAAAGATACAGTATTTATATATATATATATATATATATATATGGTGTTGCTAATTTGCTATTAAGTCAAGTTTAATGGTAAACTAAGCTTCTTGTGATGATAATTAAACTAATATCCTGGAGATTTCTTATGTCAGTTTACAAAACTAATACCACAGATCCGATGGAGGTTTGATATCTGAATCGGACGGCTGAAAATCAGGTTGACTTGAATGAATAATCATGTATGTAAGTTGATTGGTTGATTAGTTGTTAATCCTCCACGTGTTGAAGGGTGCCTACCAATGCGAAAATGAAGTGCAGGTTTTTGTGTTAATTTTGGTAGTAGTCAAATTAATAAAGGAGATGAATAAAATAGGTGTAGGAATCGAGGATGAGAAGAGAGAATTGAGCAGAAAGTTGTTCTTCTTGTCTGTGCCGTGCTCGTGGGGATTGAAATTAATAGTGTTAGTCAAGGCAGCAATTAATACTAATAGCTTTGAATTTCACATGAATCATGTGTTGTGTTGATATTTTCATCTTGCTTCCATTTAAAATACATGTTCATTACCCCTTGAATCACATTGCTTGCTAAAATCAGTTTGTTTCAAGATTTTTATGCTGCTATTCTTTTAAGTCTTTGGGAAAGTATATAGTATTATTGACGTGGTACTATTTATTTAGTAACTATCCATCGCTATTGAGTGAAAGATGTTGCATAAATTTATTAGATAATTGTATTTGTATAAAGGATGTAGTATTTTTTATGAGTCAATCTTTACAGTAATTCATTTTATAATCTTATTATTCACATTACCCTAATCAATCAATGTTATCGAGATTTGAAAATTGAAGTTACAAACATGAATGAAATGCATGATAACTACCATTCACATGATATAAAGTGATGGGTAGATGGAAAAGTAGTTGGAAGTCCAAAATATCGCCGAAATTTGCTACAAAGAAATGTAAGTTCGTTTTGGGTAAGCAAGAAATGTAAAATAAGCAAACCCAAGCAGAAAATATGGCTGTAGGACTAGGAAGATTCGTTAAGGTTAGTGTGAAGACCGAAGAGACCACCCATTTAATCGGATGGATTGGGGTGTGAGATAATGTAATTAATCCATGTCTAAGGAGACCTATTATCAACATCTTTACACTCGATAATTGTGATGTTTTATTCCTAATGACTTAATTAATTAAAACCCCCTTCAAATTATCAACTTACTTCTCTTAATTATATATTTGGTGTCTTCTTGTCTTGGGGTGGGGGTTGACTTGAGCATATAATTTCCTCTCCCTCCCTCTTTCTGGGAATTAAATTAAAATTAAGCGAGGAGGTTACTTTATCTTAACCTTTAAAAAGGAGAAAAAGAATTGTTACATGGGTGGCGTATCTGATGACACATTCTTATCCAACGACATGTTCATATTTTATTTCAAATAATTAAAAAACCATTGGAAGGGTCCAATACAAATTATTATGTAATGTAGATAATTTATTTAATTTTACAAAATATTATTAATCAAAATACAAAAATGTGTTTAGTGATGATATATTGAATACTGATTAATAATAATAATAATCCACAATTTAAAAATAAAAAAATTGAGTAATTAACCAGACCGACCTTGGCTTAATCTGGCCATAAAGGGAGTCCAGCAGTAAGCAGAGACATTAATATGGGTTTTCTTATTTTAATTTTTTTCATTGTGGCCTAGACCTAGTGTTTTGCACTACTTTTAATTTAATTCAAAAGTCGGAGAAAACTTAATTTTAACTGCATGTGTTGATTACTATTGTGATTCCTTAGGAAACAATTTTTTTAAAATTCAGTTCAGCTGCTGTGTCTCGTTTCCCTTCCACCGAAGGCCACCTGAGTCTGACCCTTTAACTCTTTGACAATACATATAGGATCTGACGTGGTTTCTGGGCTGGGCCATTATTGAATAGGTTAAGAACAGAAATGCACTATTATTTAATAATGTACTTTCTAAAATATTAAGGGACCTTACCGGAGGGAAAATGTAATAAATTCCTTTGTGCAATAAACCCAAAACATTTCCACCAACTTTTAGTTAAAATCAAAGACAGTTTTTAATGTGCTGTAATAGTATTTGTTTAATACAATTAATTATTCTTGTTTAGTACAATTCGACCGGCCCTCAACAATGTTTGTTAGTAGGTTATAAACCATACTGGAAAACAGTATTAATTAATGGGCTTCGGCCTTGGGCTTGGATCTACCGACAGTTGACATCTTAAAATGAGCCATGGGAGGCAAGTGAAAGTCAGCAATGACAGCTCTGTACCCACTTAAAATAATTTGTATATTCTTACAAGAAACTATTTCTATTTATACTACTTACATATGAACCACACAAAAATAATAATAATGTTTTTGCTACTTTCTGGCAATTCACACACACTTATAATTTGGTATGTATGAATTATGATAATCAATTTCACAGATTCTTCAACTCCCCATGAACCTACACCAACTCAGATGTGTGGTGGGGCTTAGACATTAAGAAATTCAAATATGAGTTGTTAAGTTGCAAATCAAAACTGTAAAGCACTACTGTTAACTGATTATGTTGACTGTCACATCAAAAGAGAACATTCAAGGAGATGAGTTCCGCGAAGTCAGAATGGTGGCTCTGATGAGTGGTAAGAACTATCCCAGGTACTTGGCAAGAACTAATAAAATTCAACATCTCAAGATTTTGTGACGGATAACTTTCTCAATCTCCTGTCGTGCTTGAGTATTGCACTTACATTCTCGATCAGGTAGGTCTAAGTATGCATAATGAGACTGATAAATGAAAAATTAAATTGCAATTATCTTTAGAATACATCAATCGGTTGAAATAAAGTCATATAAATCCTGTTCAGGTTTCACTGTTTCAGAACACTGGTCAATTTGACTTACGTTCAATAAAACAACAATTTGGAAGAGATACTCGGATAGAACAATAGGAAAAGAGATTCAGAATCTTGGAGCATAATAAGTTTGAAACATCTTCTGTTAATAGTTAGTTAATTTGTTGAAGTTTGTTATTTTAGCTGTACATCAAGTTACTTTTAGTTTGTTAAACTGGTGAGCTGGAGTCTAACGAAATTTCAGTATATAAACCATAACTTCTCTGTTTTTCTTTATAAGTTCAATAAAAGAATTTATCCAAGATCTATTTTTTCTCATGGTATCAGAGTGCTTCTGCTCCCTTGTCTTCTTCTTCTTTGTTCTNTATTTTATTTCAAATAATTAAAAAACCATTGGAAGGGTCCAATACAAATTATTATGTAATGTAGATAATTTATTTAATTTTACAAAAATATTATTAATCAAAATACAAAAATGTGTTTAGTGATGATATATTGAATACTGATTAATAATAATAATAATCCACAATTTAAAAATAAAAAAATTGAGTAATTAACCAGACCGACCTTGGCTTAATCTGGCCATAAAGGGAGTCCAGCAGTAAGCAGAGACATTAATATGGGTTTTCTTATTTTAATTTTTTTCATTGTGGCCTAGACCTAGTGTTTTACACCACTTTTAATTTAATTCAAAAGTCGGAGAAAACTTAATTTTAACTGCATGTGTTGATTACTATTGTGATTCCTTAGGAAACAATTTTTTTAAAATTCAGTTCAGCTGCTGTGTCTCGTTTCCCTTCCACCGAAGGCCACCTGAGTCTGACCCTTTAACTCTTTGACAATACATATAGGATCTGACGTGGTTTCTGGGCTGGGCCATTATTGAATAGGTTAAGAACAGAAATGCACTATTATTTAATAATGTACTTTCTAAAATATTAAGGGACCTTACCGGAGGGAAAATGTAATAAATTCCTTTGTGCAATAAACCCAAAACATTTCCACCAACTTTTAGTTAAAATCAAAGACAGTTTTTAATGTGCTGTAATAGTATTTGTTTAATACAATTAATTATTCTTGTTTAGTACAATTCGACCGGCCCTCAACAATGTTTGTTAGTAGGTTATAAACCATACTGGAAAACAGTATTAATTAATGGGCTTCGGCCTTGGGCTTGGATCTACCGACAGTTGACATCTTAAAATGAGCCATGGGAGGCAAGTGAAAGTCAGCAATGACAGCTCTGTACCCACTTAAAATAATTTGTATATTCTTACAAGAAACTATTTCTATTTATACTACTTACATATGAACCACACAAAAATAATAATAATGTTTTTGCTACTTTCTGGCAATTCACACACACTTATAATTTGGTATGATAATCAATTTCAAAGATTCTTCAACTCCCCATGAACCTACACCAACTCAGATGTGTGGTGGGGCTTAGACATTAAGAAATTCAAATATGAGTTGTTAAGTTGCAAATCAAAACTGTAAAGCACTACTGTTAACTGATTATGTTGACTGTCACATCAAAAGAGAACATTCAAGGAGATGAGTTCCGCGAAGTCAGAATGGTGGCTCTGATGAGTGGTAAGAACTATCCCAGGTACGTGGCAAGAACTAATAAAATTCAACATCTCAAGATTTTGTGACGGATAACTTTCTCAATCTCCTGTCGTGCTTGAGTATTGCACTTACATTCTCGATCAGGTAGGTCTAAGTATGCATAATGAGACTGATAAATGAAAAACTAAATTGCAATTATCTTTAGAATACATCAATCGGTTGAAATAAAGTCATATAAATCCTGTTCAGGTTTCACTGTTTCAGAACACTGGTCAATTTGACTTACGTTCAATAAAACAACAATTTGGAAGAGATACTCGGATAGAACAATAGGAAAAGAGATTCAGAATCTTGGAGCATAATAAGTTTGAAACATCTTCTGTTAATAGTTAGTTAATTTGTTGAAGTTTGTTATTTTAGCTGTACATCAAGTTACTTTTAGTTTGTTAAACTGGTGAGCTGGAGTCTAACGAAATTTCAGTATATAAACCATAACTTCTCTGTTTTTCTTTATAAGTTCAATAAAAGAATTTATCCAAGATCTATTTTTTCTCATGGTATCAGAGTGCTTCTGCTCCCTTGTCTTCTTCTTCTTTGTTCTATTGTGATTTCAATGGTGAATTCAATGGCGAATTCAGATCCTACATAGAATCCATCAAGCCATTATTATATTCATCCAAATGAAAATCATGCAATTGTCTTGGTTACACCTGTTCTCAACGGCACCAACCATCATTCTTAGGCATGCGCCATGAAAATGGCTTTACTTTCCAAGAACAAGCTAAAATTTGTTGATGGAACACTCCGAGCACCTTTGACTACTGATCCAATGTTTTCAGCTTGGGAAAGATGCAATACAATGGTACTGTCTTGGCTTAATCATTCTCTTTCACCTTCAATAACTAGTAGCGTGTTGTGGATTGATAAAGCATATGAAGTTTGGGAAGATCTTCGAGAAAGGTTTTCACAGGGAGATGTGTTCAGAATTTCAGATCTCCTAAAAGAGATTTATGCTTTCAAACAAGAAGATCGAAATGTAACAAATTACTTTACTGAGCTTAAAATTCTCTGGGAAGAGTTATTGAATCTTAGGCCAATTCCTTGTTGTTCTTGCACAAATCCGTGTTCTTGTGGTGCTTTAACTAAGATCAAGACTTATCAAAGCAATGATTATGTGATTAGATTTCTCAAGGGCTTGGGTGATCAATTTGCCACAATAAGATCCCAAATTATGCTCATGGAACCGCTTCCTTCCATAAACAAGGTATTTTCTTTGGTTGTGCAGCAAGAGAGACAAATGGTCTCAGGTGCATCCAAAGTGTTTGTAAGCAAGACTACACGAGAAGAAGTGTAGAGTTCCTCTAAGCAACGAATCAAAAAATCAAATCAATCACAGCACAATGGGGATAATAGATTCTGTACATTTTGTGGCAAACCAAGACATACAATCGAGACATGCTACAAAAAGCATGGTTATCCACCTGGGTACAAGCCAAGAAATCAAAACTCTACTACTCATAATATCATTTCTGGAGAGGATACTAAAAGAGCTGATGAATCTCATCAAAATACTGTCACACAGAAAGGGATTCTTGAACCTGGTGTTTTTTTTTTTTTTACTCAAGAGCAATATCAACAATTACTTGCCTTAATTCAGCCTTCTGGTGTTGATAAGTCGTTGCACATTACCAATCAAGTTACTACTCAACTGTTCTTTCTTCTAATTTTTCTTCTTCAGCAGGCAACCATTTTTCTTTGCATTGTTCATCCAGTTCACAACTATGGGTTGTGGACACGAGAGCCACCGATCACATAACCCACTATTTATCATTTTTCACATCTTATAAACAAATCAAACCCATCTTTGTCACTTTACCAAATGGCACCAAGGTCAAAACACAATACCCAGGCACCGTCCATCTCACTGAAAATTTAGTTCTCACAGATGTTCTCTTTATCCTTGAATTTTCTTTTAATCTGATCTTTGTGATCAAACTTACCTCACTTCTTCCATGTTGCCTGATTTTTAAAGATTCATGTTGCATTATACAGGACCTGAATTCGTGGAAGATGATTGGTTCAGCTAAGGTGGAGAATGGTCTTTACTTAATGATAAAATCAGCAATCAAAGTTCCTTTTCCTCCTTCGAAAATTTTAGCATCTACAACCTACAATGCAGAATAGGATCTCTGGCACTATAGGCTTGGTCACCTTTCTGATTCCAGGCTTAAACTCCTTGCACCATACATTTCTGATCTTAAGTTTTTAGATAACTCAACTTGTACTATTTGCCATTTAGCCAAACAAAAACATTTGCCCTTTCCTGTAAGTGTTACAAAATCCAATAATTGTTTTGATATTGTACATGCTGACATTTGGGGGCCTTTCTCTACACCCTTTGTTCATGGTCATAGATATTTTCTAACAATTGTTGATGATCATTTGAGATATACATGGATTTTTTTAATTCAAACACAAGTCTGAAGTGAGACCTATTATACAGTCCTTTTTTACACTCATTGAAACTCAATTCTCTACGAAGATTAAAATCCTTCGTAGTGACAATGGTCTTGAGTTTAATCTTCCAAGTTTTTATGCCTCTAAGGGAACAATACATCAAACATCTTGTGTAGAAACACCATAGCAAAACGGTGTGGTGGAGCGTAAGCATCAACATATATTAAACGTAGCTCGATCACTATTATTTCAATCTAACCTTCCTAACATGTTTTGGCATTATGCCACTTTACATGTTATGTATCTCATAAATAGGCTTTTTTCTCCTCTTATTGAGCACAAATCTCCCTTTGAAATTCTACACAAATGTCCACCTAATTATGCCACCTTAGAGGTATTTGGTTCCCTCTATTTTGCCTCTACTTTGTCTGTTCATCGCACTAAATTTGATCCTCGTGCCAGAAAGTGTATCTTCCTTGGATTCAAATCTGGTACAAAGGGCTTTGTTCTCTTGGACATCAATTCTAGGGAGATATTTGTTTCACGTAATGTTGTTTTCCATGAACATATTTTCCCTTTTGCATCTTTAAAAATGATTTTGTTCCTCTTGTTCATGAATCTTCCTTACCAGCCTCTGATTTTTCTCCTATTACACCATCATCTAATTCTTCTTTACCTTTAGTTAATCAACCTTCTATACCACTTGTACCACATCAATCTACAAGAGTGTCTAAACCTCCTTCATACTTGGCTGATTATCATTGCCATTCTACCACTACAACTGTAACTAGTGATCTCCACTCAAGTACTCCTCATCCTTTGTCCTTTGTTCTCTCTTATTCAAACTTATCTCCTTCTCATTTACATTTTACACTTGTTGTCTTTGCTTCCTTTGAACCAAAATCTTATCAACAAGTTGTAAAATTTCAATGCTGGCGAGAGGCAATGCAAATTGAAATCAATGCACTTAAGCAAAACAAAACTTGTGTTCTAGTGGATCTTCCTGCTGGCAAAACTCCCATCAGATGTAAGTGGGTTTATCGAGTTAAACACAAAGCCGATGGTAGTATTGAACGCTATAAGGCGCGTTTAGTCGCCAAAGGATACACACAAACTGAAGGCATCGGTTACTTCGATACTTTTTCTCCTGTTGTTAAACTCACCACTATCAGATTGTTGCTCGCTTTAGCAGCCATACATCAGTGGCACCTTTAGCAGCTCGACGTCAACAATGTTTTTCTTCACGGTGACCTCGATGAAGAAGTTTACATGGTGTTGCCTCCTGGCCTCCATTCTTCTCATTCTCATAAGGTTTGCAAGCTTCAAAAGTCCCTTTACGAGCTTAAACAAGCTAGCCGCCAATGGTTCTCAAAACTCACCTCTGCCTTGCTCGCATTGGGTTATGTTAAGTCCTCTTCTGATTATTCTCTTTTCATCAAGCACCATGACAGTTCCATCACTGTCTTGCTGGTCTATGTTGACAATATAACTTTAGCAGGCAATAATCTTGGTGAAATTGATCATGTAAAGAGGTATTTGGATGCTGCTTTCAAGATAAAGGACTTAAGCGATTTAAAATTTTTCCTTGGCTTAGAAGTCGCTCGTACAGCTGCTGGTATTGCATTATGTCAACATAAATATGCTCTTGATATCTTATCTGATGCAGGGTTCTTGGATTCTAAACCTGCCAAGTCTCCGATGGATTGCTCCTCTAAGCTTAGTCAATCTCATGGTGACACCTTGCATGATGCTTCTTCCTATCATCGACTGATTGGCTGTTTACTTTACCTTACTTCTACTCGTCCTGACATCTTTTTTGTCGTCCAACAATTGAGCCAATACTTAAACAAGCCTACCTCTCAGCACCTTCAAGCAGCCCATCGAGTTCTTTGCTACATCAAAGGTTGTCCAGCTTATGGTCTTTTTTTTCCTGCTAGATCCTCTTTAGCTCTTCAAGCCTTTAGCGATTCTGATTGGGCAAGATGCATTGACACAAGGCACTCGGTGACTGGTTTCTGTGTCTTTCTTGGATCATCCTTGATCAACAGGAAGGCTAAGAAGCAGCCTACTGTATCACGTTCCTCTTCAAAAGTTGAGTATCGTGCTCTCGCTTCCACAGCTTGTGAGTTACAGTGGCTGCGTTATCTTCTTCAAGATCTCCATGTTGATCACCCTCAATTTGCTTTGATTTTTTGTGACAATAAATCGGCTCTCCAGATTGCTGCCAATCCGACATTTCATGAACGCACAAAGCATATTGAAATAGATTGCCATCTGGTTCGTGAGAAAGTGCACAATGGTCTCCTTCACCTCATGCCTTATTCCTCAACTGATCAGCTAGTTGATGTTTTTACGAAGCCGCTTGCTGTCGCTCCTTTTCATGCAATTATTTCCAAGCTAGGCATGTTAAGCATACATTCTCCAACTTGGGGGGGGGGGGGGGTGGGGGGGGGGGGGGGGGTGTGTCTTTGATCTTGGAGCCATAATAAGCTTGAAACATCTTCTGTTAATAGTTAGTTAATCAGTTGAAGTTTGTTATTTTAGCTGTACATCAAGTTAGTTTTAGTTTGTTAAATTGGTGAGCTGGAGTCTAATAGATTTTAGTCTATAAACCATAACCTCTCTGTTTTTCTTCATAAGTTCAATAAAAGAATTTATCCAAGATCTATTTTTTCTCACAGAAACTAAAAAATGTTGAAATCACAAAAAGCTTACACAGGATTTCTTAATTTGGTTCAAAATGTATACAATAACTATAAGTTAATAAAAAATGTTTTTTGTCTCTTCCTTAGAGTTTAATTATGAATCAAAAAATCAATTGAAAAAATTTGAGAGAAAACCATATATACTTGAATTGCCAAAATCAGCAGAAATTAGAAAAACGGTAACTGTTAGGAACCTAAATGTCAATATCATCATGTGATAATAATTTAGCAATTTCTGTCATAAGATTAACTATATGTAAAAAGAAGCTACATTATCCTCATACAGACTTTCCTATTGACCTATTTGATGTAACAAAAAATAAGTAGCTGTTAGGCAGATGTAACAAACCTGAAAGCAAGCAAAAGCCGTAGCAGTTGCATAATAGAGTTTGCATTGCCAATACCTTGTAAATTTCATTAAGTAAATGATGCGAATTCACATTTAAGGCCGCCCATTAATCTTCATATGAGCCAAGCAAACTTCATGGCAAAAGCCATTCATAATTCTTGAAGCAAATCAGCCCAAGTTGGAGTAATATTGCAAGGCAAATCCAAACCCATAGTCAATTCGGCCCACGGAGAAGGAATGCAACAAGATGGGCTCAAGTTAAACCCATTTCGTCCAAGCCCCTAAATTGTTGATCCAATAGGTCCAATCCATTTATTTGAGCGTAGTTTGAATAGTTGGAGCCAAGATTTTCAAGTTAAAATGTAGGAAACAAAGGCTAATCAAGCATATGCACATGGAGACATTTAATGGAATAGACAAGATTATAACATGAGCGGCTCAAGATAGTCCCAATTTGACAAAAACAAGATTGTCATCCTTAACAGCTCCATGTTCCTTATCATTTTGAGAAATTTCTAAGTCAAAAATTCTTACTTATGTTTGTAGGCATTTTGGCTTTTAAGGAACATTTAGGGTGGCTAATAAAAATGTGTCCCATAGTTTGTTATTATCTTGAATTTGACTTTGTAATTCTCTATCCTATGTGGCATCCAATGTAACCCTATATAAAAGGGTCTTCTCCTTCATTGTAATACAAGTTGGGAGTTAAATTTTTGGAAGTGAAAATGTGAAAGCTCTTCAGAGAGTTTTATCATTTTTCCTTTATCTAAGTTCTTGCCATGCTTGGTGGTAAAATCCAAAACCAGTGACCATGCCTTTTCGTTTTGAAGACCCTTGGCCGGTGGCATTGCCTTTAAGGCTTGGGAATTTGGCTTCTATCTTGTTAATGATGTTCCATACCCGGTGGCGTAACCTTTACGCTTTGAAGATCATTAGCACTTATCTTTACTTTATCTTGTTATTTGTTGTGTATTATCTTTAATTTATCCTTGACTTTATCTAGTTCATGTATTTTAGTGTGCTTTGTAAGTTTGTGTTGTTTAGAAGAATTACAACTCACTTTAAGCCTCCACAAACGCATTAGTAAAGATCTAGATTAATGCCTCAACTTATTTAGTCATTAAAGCCAATTAGATGAAATCCAAGGAAAAGGCATACCCTCCATATCCATAGATTGTGCATCATAGGGCTGAGAAGGGGAACTCCGACATATCCGCAAAAGAGGAAGAATACAGAATTGCATATCAGTATGAGCATGGAAGATGGAGGGTTTTTAGATGCTAGACCAAGTCAAAATTCACCAGTAACAAAAGAGTCATTTTCACTTGCCTGCCAATTCAAAAACAAACCAACCTAGCAAACCCAAATATAAAGCTGAATCGCCAACCTAATGAAAACCAAACCACAGAGGATGAACAAATTAGATAACAACATCAAATAAATTCAGAAACGAAATCAACAATAGAAGTATGAAGCCCATCAATTACCTGTTATCACAGCAACTAGGATGATTATCCTCAGGAAGAAAGTTTTAGCCACAAGCAAATCCGAAGGTGAATTCTGAAACTTATAATTTGCGAAAAGGGAAGCACAGAAATAGTATACAGCTAGTATAAAAGAGATGTTTCACAGATTGAACCAAAGACTTCAATTGTTCCAGTATTAAGGAACAAAAGATAAAGAGTTTTGCCAAAACTTCCATATGAGCAACTTTAGTCATCCTTACTCCGGTATGCTTTCTCAATCATGTTTGATGGATTCTTTGTTTCAATTTTTTTTATTTTTATATCTTTGAGGGTTGGGAGGGAAGAGAAAACTCATAGACAGCACCAAGTCTATGAAATGTAATACTTTAAAACAGGAAAGTAATAGCTTCTAGTATCCCATAAATACTTGGTGTATTTTGAACGAGTTGTATACAAGTTTTTCTTAACAAGCACATTAAGTTCACATCAGAGTTTGTTACATACAATCTCACGTGCAATATATCGGGACTGATTAGCACAACCAACCTAAATTGGGGTAAAACAAGCAAATAATTTTAGACCTACTGAAGGGTAAGATTTAAGCATTGATGAGACAGCAATGTACACAAAAGCCAAGAAGCAAGGTCGGTGGTTCAGCCGTATGGCCAATGGCAATACCATGAATAGAATATTCACATGGAACACTATCAAAAAGAAATTTCTGAAAAATTCAAAAACTTCAGCAAAGAAGTACCTGCAAAAGAAAAATCAGGTGCACAAGATATAATGAAACACCTCACATGTAGGATAAAATTTCTCAATTCTACATAAAACAAAAATTGATTTGCCTCACCACAAAACACCCATGTTTGAAGACAAATCTTCCACAGTGAGGATGAACCCGTATGTACTACAGAAACAAGCCACATGTATGAAGAGTCAGAGCTTTTATATGGCGATGAAAGAAAAAATAAAGAGCTCTCTTACTTGATATACCACAGCATTGTATATGTTAATATTATAATTATAAAGATGAATTAATAAGACATCAAAATTAATGGCAATGCTGAAATCAGATACCATTCTATCTGATTAACCATGATGCTAAATGTACTTGAGCAGTGCGACCAAGGAAAGCCAAAAGGTTGAACTTCAATCCAACTGGTTCACATGAAGCTAGTATTCCACAACAAGAATTGATTCTCACATCTTGGCAGATAACGCTCATGTACAAATTTGGTTGTAGAATGTATAGCAAAGAGGATCACTTAACCTAAGGAACTTACTGTATTAAATCTTCTGAATATATGAAGGTGAGAACTCTGTAATGGTATCAGTTTTCCAATTTTGTTATTTTATTAGTAACAAAACTATAACCCAAATAAACAGAACACATACAAGAAAGGTAGTAACAAACTATAACCCAAATAGCGCCAACAAGCCAATAAGAAAATGGAAAAGGTACATACACAACTTACATCTAACACAAAGAAATCCTGAAAGGGAACCAGAAAAATCAAAGTAGAGGTAGACAGCCATGAGAATTAATATTTTAGCTTTTAGGCTTATAAATATTACGGTCTTGAATTCAAGAACTGAATGCATCAGATTTGAGTACAGAACTACATGACATATATTTAAACATTAACCCAACATATCCACATGGATTATATGAACTTCAGGAAGAAACCTCCAACCAGTTTTGTTATTATGCAGTTTCTAATTCTTTTAACTCAAGAAATAATACTGGCCAATATCTAATCAACCTCCTATTCCATAAAAGTTAATTACAAGTATCATGCTTTATAAGCAAGACATTGTTTGGCATCCAGAAGGGTACAAATAGAGAAGATTAGCTCTAAAAATAGTTTTTCGATTTAGCATACAGATGACAAGTACCGAATGGAGTATATAAGGAATACCTTTTAAACATCTCCAACAGACCACCATTATTTTGAACCGATATGCCACATAGAATAAGCACATAGACAGACCAGACAGAAATCCACAACAAAAAATGAATGACTGGTTTCCACGAGAAGGTCATTGATTGATTCAGTTCCTCCTGTTGACAAGATGTACTACTTAAGGGATTATCTCCACCTTTGCTGCATCTACTTTGAAGGAACAGTTTCCTCGGAGGAGCATCTGGACCATATCCTAGTAAAAAAATCAACTGGGAAAAAAATTAACAATAGTTACTAAATGCAGAGTTGATATAAAAAAGCACTAAGGAATTTCATATAAGCTTTTCGTATGTTTCTTATAAGACTTTAACTATTTCATAAAGACAAAAAGACATACCGGAATAATTAAAATTGCAGGATAAAGAGATAGATGAGTAGCCATAACCCACCCAAAAGCAGCCAAGGGAGGCAGTCCTACATTCCATCCAACAAACGGTATTTAATAAATTGCAATTATATATATTTGACAGGAAACAATAAAACTATATATTAAAAAGAGATTGAGGTAGATACATCAGTGGACTAGAGATCCACAAAAATATCAAAAAACCAATGAGGGAGACAAATCTATACAAGATAGTGACCAATGTTCCTTTCCCTATGTGAACACACAAAGCAGTGGTTCTTTGTCAAACTAGGCATATATATTAACAAAAAACTTATGACTCTATCCATATATTGTTCCAAATATTTTGAAAAAGCCAGGAACTGAAACATCATAAGCATGCATGACACAGATACTATTTAAATATATTTTTAAGATATTCATATCTTTACAACCCCCAAAAAAATAAATAAATACGCATATGGGAAAAGAAAGGTGGAAACATTAGAAAGGAATATCAATGCATTGGTAAACCTCTAAAAATGTAGAACTCATTCTTTAAATTTCACAAGCATTCAATCAAAAAACTGGAGGAAAAATTGGTGAAATGATCTTGGCACAGATAACAAGTACCCAAGTACTGACAAAGAATCGAAATTTCTTACCTGTACATGCTCCATAGAAAGATGATATGATGGCCAGGTTTTCAACTGGTGATGTGGACAAACGTACACAAGCTACTATTGTGAAAGGATTCCACAAGTATACAAGAGCGGCAATATCTCCAGAAGAAATAATCTCTGCAAGTAACATTGATACTTGCGAGGAAAGGGGAAGGAAGGACAAGCAGGAAATATGCAAGAATTTACATCTGAACACAAAGAATTAAGCAACTTGAAGCAAAATTTACCATCATGATCTCTGTAAATTTATCAATAAAATTAACTTGGAATCTTACTAAATTCAATAAAAAATTCCAAATTAAGTTTCTCAAGGTTCCATGCTGTCATTTCTTTTCATCCAAACTTCCTAGCAATTTAATAAGATATTCGTAAAAGAGAAGAAAGACTAGGTGGCAATAAGAAGAGTACTAATTCTCTAAAATGACAGTGATGATCTTACCACGCACTAAAGCACAATATATTATAGATGAAAATCACGAAACTAAAGCCATCTCTCATTCACAAGTTTTCAATCTTCTAATCTTTTTATCCAGGGTCCTTACATTTAAGAAATTAAATAAATGATCAACGAAAACTGAAAAAATCCTATAATATCCTCTGCACAAGAGAACTTGAAAAAAGCATTTTGCTCAGAACAAATAAAATTACCTGAATTTTTTGACAGTTCATGAAGTTCTAGGGATTTCCATCTTTGAGTATATGCTGCCTGAAGATTCTGACTGGCAGCACGAAGAAGCATTGCACTCATGACATCTGCAAGCACAAAAAGGAAACTGTATCCAAATATGTGTTGATATCAACTAAGCAACTAAATGGAGAAAAGATTTTAAAAGGAATAGAAGAAGAAAAAAAGAACCAAAATACTAAATCAATTATACTAAGTATAAGAAGGAAAGAAGAATTGAACGGAAATCCCAGATTATCAGAATGAGCAACGTACGGCAGATATGCGATACCATTAACATCATCAAAAGATATCTGACTTCAAAATATTAACAGGAAGTGTTATATATCTCAGCTAGGACGTGAAATCATCACTCACATAATAATAGCATTCAGGATTATAACATTTTTATGGTAATATTAATTATTATGAATATTATACATTAAAAATTACAGAACAAAGAAACAACAGAAGCATAAGCTTACTTTTACAATGTCCAAACTCTTGTTTGCTACTTTAAAGAGCTTTTTTATTCATTTTTAATTTTTATTATTTGAAAAGGTTACTGTAAATAAGTACGTGGTGTTTTTTTTCTCTTATTTGTGTGTCTCTACAATCAAATGGTAGAAGAGCCAAAGTTGCACTATGTGAGCAATGGAACAACTCGGCCACTTGATCTAAGAGAGCCTCACACAAAAGTATATGAGAATTTTGCATTTAACATCCACTCCATATGTTACCACATATTTGATATATGAACAAAAACAACAAGTCTATTCAATGAGGTTATACGCAAAACTTCTATCACTAAAAAAACTAAGTCTCAAATTGTGACATAAAACTATTAGCATACTAAAATACTACCAAACACCTAAAATGAATAATCCATTCACTTTATAAAAGTGAAAATTATCACTGATAGACTTGTATGTAATGTCAAATTCCATTTGCCAAATTGGAACTGGACATAGAATTTGGCTTGGCCAGAATGAATAGCCATCTTCTTCCAAAAAATTAGGGGTTGGCATTTCCAATTCAATTCAACTCCAATTCCATGATACCAAAGACGGCCATAACCATAACATTTGAATAACTAAGACCTAATATTTAGTACCTGCATAGAAGATGATGGGGTTGCCCTTCAATTCTGCACCAACAAATTAAAATACATATCAAAACAAGTATCAAAAACCAATAACAAATCATCGCAAACTAATAAGGGTTAAATTTCAGGCCTCGATCCAGGAAACCTAACAATATGAAAGTATGAGTGTAGACCGCTTTTGTGCAAAGAACTTCGAGTAAAAAGTAGGTATCGCAAAAACACCAAAAGTGCTTCATCAAAAAGTATCTATCAAATGCATCTGCCTAAAGTATTTAAATTTAAACACATTTCAAAAAGAACCTAAAAATTGCACCTCTAAACGCTTCGGTAGCCACCTTTAACCAAATAAACAATTCATCATTTCTTTAATGTAATTGTTACAACATTAATTGAGCTCTATTAGCACCTCTTAACAGTGAGCGGCCCAAGCAGAGAAAGTAACAGAGGAGAACCATGATACATTGAACCTGCAAGTTAGAAAACCAAATTTTACAAACAACATCTCATAAATAAAAAAGAACGAACCAAAGAAACAGAAAACCTGCATATGGAGACGTTGACGATTGCTTTAGCCAGTATCCCTCCGCCACTGGAAAAAATTAAAACAAAAAAAAAGGTCAAAAATTCAGATCATGAATTGATTTTAGTTCAGCGCGTAGAGAGAGGTATAGGAAGAGACAGTACAACGACGTATGCTGGAGATAGGAGTGGAGACTTCGGGACAAGAAGATAAGTTGAAATTTTTCGGGAAGTAAATAAAATTAGCCTGAAAATCACTGAAGCTATGACCCAAACTAAAAACGACGACATTTTGTAGATTTTGTTGCGCTTCTCTTCTATCTTCATCTCCATTTTGGGCGAATATTACGGCATCGATGTTGTCGGAGGATGAGGTACCCTCACTGAGCGTAAAATAAGCTTTCAGGACCTTTTTCTTCAACCATGTCGGATCCGTTTGTTTCAATATTTTCTCTTCTCTTATTCCTATTATTTTCAAAATATATCGTTAGTTTTCTTATTCTAAAATACTATTATATTATACTTAATTATTTTTTAAATCTCCTACGTTTATTAATTTAAATAAACACCCCTAAAAAGAGTTTAAAAATTAATAAAAACACCCCCACCACCCACATTTGCCACATTTCGGCCACCATCGTCGAAAGGTGGCCGAAATCTGGTATAATGGCACACAATCGACACTACCAACTAGATCTGATTGGTAGTGCACCGATATAGCATTTTTCGGCCAGATCTACAATGGATTGGCCAGAAAAGGCCAGATCTACAGACGGCTAGATCTTTGGTCGTAACTAGTCGTCAACGACGGCCATATCTTTCGCCATCGTTGACGACCAAACGCGGCCAGATCGGCCATCGTAGATTTGGCCTTTTATGGCCAGATTTTGATGGATCTGGCTGAAAAAGGCTATCTCAGCGTACGACGGGCCATATCCAGCTGGTCATGCGTCGATACGACGACTTCAGCCACCCTTCAGTGGTGGTGGTTGGTTGTCGGTATTTAATGGGTGAGTGGGGGTGTTTTTATAATTGTTAATGTTTTCATTACAGGGATGTTTAGTAAATTAACAAACCTAGGGAGTGTTTTATTAATTTTTAAATCTTACCTCGTTATTCCCACCCAACTCTTACTATTTCAAAACTACTATTCTAAATACTAAAATAAACACACCCATCGTTTTTTTTTTTTTTTTTTTTTCCATTGAAACCATGGTGCATTCATGAGATCTATTGAGACAATTACATAAATAGCCCTATTTTAATTCAAATGACCAAAAATTGCGGATCTATAAAATAACCAACATTTGAAAGGCTATACGAGTCCAGACAACTTGAACATTTTAGCACTACTTTTCACAAATTTCTCCACATTTCAATAAATATCACTTAAAATTACTTAAACATCTCTCATTTAAAACGTGTAAATACTATATTGAGTTAAAAACGTTGATTTGTATACATTTTTTTGTGTTGTTGATACTAGATTTTGACACCATCTATTCGCATGTGCAAGGTGCTCAGCAACTTAGAAGTTACACATGAATTGAAAAAGAAATGAATAAAAGGGAGACGATTTTTAAAGTGGTTCTGATGCTCAAAGCGAATCATACGTCCATTGTTTGTTTTATAAATAAAAGATTACAATCAGGTCGCAAGTAGAGATCAGAGAAATAGAAATATAGAGAGGGAGAGTGAGTGTTTATGCTATCAGAATCAGAATCCCGAAAAATGAGAGGGGAGCTCTCTATTTATAGCAAGAGGTTTCTGGGTAATGATTACAAGTCTGCTAGTAGGCAGGTGCCGTACAGTTCCTACCCTGATTCCTATTGGCTGGTTGCACGGAAGATATCCTTAAATCACGCAGGGCTTGGGCAGGTGGGTGACTCATAACCACTCACTAGCCAGGCCTTTACCTGCCAAGTTGATGACAACCTTACTCCTTCTGTCCTTGGACGACGTGGCAGCGCTTGGGCGGCACAACACCTTCTTGAATTTTGATTGGTCCTCGCTGAAGTAAGCTTGCGTTAGCCCTAATTTTTTAGGCATAACAGAAGCCCCCCAGTTCTTAAGGTTCAAGGCTTGAACTTTGAGAACTTTATGATTATGCCATGATTTGACTCATCCCGAGGATTGCTTGCTCGAACTACAAGTGGAGAACGGCTGAAATAACATGAAGTTCACGATTTTACTTGACTAGCGAACTGAGTGGAGGTCACGATGTAGGGCTTTGCGAACTGCACAAGCAACTTGAGATGATCATCCCCTAAAGGTTCAGCGACCTGGGGTCGGATCTTGCTCAATGCTATACCAACGTGCTTTGAACTTTGCCCATCGCTCGAGACCTAAAAACAATTAGAATATTTTCGCTGAAAATCAGAAGTCGCTTCGCTTCAAGCTCAATACATAGAGAAGAGTGTTTCATTCGAACAACCTCTTCAGATGTTATCCGTTGCACTTGACAGCTGGCCTAGTCAATGAAGTAAGATTTATCTGACAGACGTGTCTTTGCGCAATAAGTGTCAACCATGAGCATTCAATGCGAGCAATGCTGAAACGACATTTTCTTTTTAAGCATTAAATACGGATAAGGGCGCATTTAATGTGATGGAGATAACCACGCCGACGTTTGGTATTTTCAACAGAGGGAAACGTCGATTAAAGCGTGAAGGTTACTCTTCACGAGAATTGGCAACACGTGGTCGCATCCAACGGCTAGGAACGCATCCCGCACAAACATCGCTTGCATAGGAAACCAAGCATCACCTCCTTCCCTATAAAACCCTAAGCCCACTTCATGATTTTCATAGAACTCGAATCTTTAGAGAGAAAAACAGAGTTTTTCTCTCAAGAAACCAGTTCATCCTTCTTCCAGTTGATGCGCACTCACCGTTACGACATAACATTCATCCCTATCAACCAAGAGGTAAGGAAAACTCTTCCCTTTCTTCTTCCCATTCCTATTAAAAACTCGATTCTTTCACAATAATGGTGGGTTTGAACACCTGGTAAACTTACATAATGCACATTCTTGGGTAGTGTTAAAAAAGGAACACTCTTAATAATCGAAAACCAAGGGCACAGATCCTTGGGAACTCATACTCAAGGACGTTTAGGGTTTTTAGGGGCTAAGGAAGGAAAATTAGGGGTTTTCTTACTCTGTTAAGTCATCATACGAAACACTGTGTACGGAGACTGAGTCACCTCTACGTGTCATACTTTTTTAGACTTTCGGAGATGAGAGCAACCAAAGGAACAAGCTCGTAGCCCCTGAGCACCTCGACGGGTCTTGCATAGGCAGTGCTATCAGCAGCCATTGTGGATGAGATTCAAAAGGCGGTAGACCAGTTTGCGATCAACGTAAACATCTACCAGCATAGGTCACACACCGCTCAGAACCCTCTAAAGGGAACAGCTGTGATCTCAGAAGCAATCTTTAAATGCGGGGTGACGATACCATTTCACCCCTTTATCAGATCGATTCTTAACCACTTCGAGGTCGCACCATTCCAACTGATGCCTAATGCGTATATGATAGCTATTGCTATGTATACAGCATGTCACGAACAAGAATTCGGTGAGTTAACAACATTGGAACTCGCATGCGCTTACTATTTAAAGAAAAGCAAGGATAAGGATTCCTTCAACCTCTCGAAGCGATCTACGATCGAGGGAGAGATATTTGGTTACCCCCGCAACGTTAGGGTTTATGACACCAAATATTTCTTCTTCGAATACGATGGAATTTGTAAATTTAGGGAGCCGAGTAGGTTTTTCCCTTTTATTTTCCAAACTGATTATCCTTTCCTTTAACTCTCTGTTGGTAGTTAAGACTAAGGTAATTTTTCTTTTTCGCAGAGAACAAGACGACCAGGTTATCGGCTCTAGTAGATTTCAGTCGTATCGAGGTGTTTGGTCGTTTACTAGATCAGAGTGGCGACGCAACACTGCTTGTGCCACTGCTAGCCTGCGAAAGTACGAATTTTTCAGCCCCGAGGCATCTTTAGAAGCTCTAGCCCGTAAGTGTCTTCGTATCTAGAAGAACTTTTAGCCTTGTACCAAAGATGACTTTTTTGCTAACACATTTTCATGCCGTGCAACGACCATGCCACCAAGGGTTCTAAAGCCGTCGATGAAGACTGGGGGGTTTTTATTCCCCCGGGTCAACCTGACTGAGCCAACCGAAGTGACCCCCAGTGCCATCGCCACATGAGGGATACAGATCGATGCCGAAAGGCGACCACCATGGAGCGACGCAAAAAAGCTCCTCGGCTCGTGGCTACTCGTGCCATGAAATAGAAAACCATAGGCCATAAGACCAAGAAAAGGAAACAATTGACTGCTAAGGAGGAAACAGAGTCGGAGCCAGAGGGCTACAGGCTGCTACCAGAAAGAACTCAGCCCTATCCTGTCACTCGCTTGGGAGTGCTCCCGAGGGGCCCCCTAGCACTTCGGCTGCCCCCGAGAGCTCGCCCAAGGGAGCGAGAGCGACCACAGCTTCCCAAAAGAGAACGGGCAAGCAAAGGGTCGAGGATGTACCTGCCGCCTTGAGACTAGACTTGTCCGTGCTGGACTCCCTAGGGCAACTGCCGGAGCACTTGTGATAATCATATTTTACACTATGATTTTTCATTGAATTTTGATAGGATTTAGGATATTTTTCATACAATTTGGGCCATAATTGCCACCTAATTCTATTAATTTGGCTTCGCAAGCCTAAACGATGATTTTGAGCACTAATGACAATTTTGAGCGTAAATTGTGTAACTTGAGCTTGAAAACTTGGAATGACCTGAATTTAGAAGCTTTGGAAAGCTAAGAAGAAGAGCTATAACTTTCATGTTTTGGGTTTTTCCTAATTCTGACTGGACAAGGGTGAAAACTTGGCTTGAATTCGTGAAAAGTACGCTGGGAACTGAAGAAAAATGTCTTTGGATATGCTTCAGTATTTCTTCCATAACTTGAGCTGAAGACCTTAGATTGTGCTGATTCATAAACTATTAGAAAAATAATTTAAAGTTCTACAATTCATATGTTTAACACTTTTCCAGATTCAGACTCTAGCATGCTCAAATTTGGCCCGAAAGTTACTCGCCGTGGCGAAACCTACATCAGATGTAAAAATAAAATGACGCTTTTTGGCTTGCTAGGGCTTCATCCTTAAGTGAGAGAGGTATAAATTAGAGTGAAAAGGAAGAGAAAAGGGTCTTGGTTCATCATTTGGAAGGCAGCTCTTAGAAGGAGAAGAGTATTGAAGATTTGGGCTTCAAATTAGAAAAGATTTCTCCATCTTTTGCTTGTTTTTCAATGATGAATCTTGATTCAGTTTGTTT